CTAAACATATATTTGAGATTTTCAATATCTACAGCAGACTATACAAAATTTTTTGTGCTCGCAACAGAGCCATTACAAAACAGTTAACTGCCTTTATTAAAACGGCTGGCTTCTCTTTCAACAAGAGTCAACCAAATTATAAACACTTTTTGTCTCGTTTCGTTGCAATTTTATCGAGCTTATCAATGAACACTACATCAATACAATCGCCACGGCAAAATCCAAAGCTAACGTCTTTACTACTGCTACCAACTATAAACCCAAAAGAAAGACTCATATCAAAAACTTATCACGTTACTGGGTATATTGGTCTGTTTGCTAACCGGCCTAATCCATTTCCCCTCCAAATGCAAAAATAAAGGATTATTATTTGTTATTAAAATTTTAAAACAGCTAACTGCAGAGTTTGGCAACTCTACACCCGTGCAGCCGTCTTTGACTTTCCGCAAGACATAATTTAATTTCTTTTTGAATCACTCCGCTATTTAGCTTTATTGTGGTCTAAAGTTATAAATATCTTTAGGAATAAAGTGAGTGATTTAAAGTAAAGGAAGCAAATTAGTCTTTACGCGTAATTCATTTGGTTTTTTGCAATCAAAAATTTGAGCTCTTGTAAAAGTCTTTTTTTTATGCTAGCTACTATGCCAGCTATGTCCTTGCTTGTTTGCAGTTTGTTTCGCTTTCGCTTTCTTGTTACAGTGTCAACGTAAAGTAGAAGTTTGGTTAAATTTGTTCTTTGTTATTTTGTTCTTTTTTTTTTTAATAATCCACTTCTGTCGTGTTTCACTGGATATGGATTGTTTATTTACACCATGTGGTGCGAAAACAGGTCCAGAATCTGAACGACTCATCGCGTGTTGGCTCTGTGATCGCTTTTGCCATGCAAGGTTTGCTGGTATTATCGGCCGTGGTGCTGATGCAGTATGGGATCCCTCAAGAGGCTTACGATGTGTGTACTGACTATAGGAACCGGGACATAGATTTCTTCAAACTCTTCACGGAGACGAGAAATTGTTTCTCAGATTTGAGCAAATATCTCGGCTCCTTGTGGGAGCATTTTGAAATAATTAAGACTAGGTTTGATGAGTGTCGTTACATTGAGCACTCACCTTCTTCTCCAGCTAGCAAAGTTACAACTCGTAGCGTAGCGTGTGGTACGTCACCTCTGAGTTCTACTAAGTCTGATTCGATTCGCTTAATTTAAGGCGTGTTAGCATTTTTAATTTGGCTCCTTCTCAGCCTAGAGCCATCTCGTCTTTTAAAATGCTAGTTCTGACTGAAAACATAGATATGTTGTTAAATAAATCATTGTGGTCAGTTGCATTTTTAATTAAGAAATTTATCCCCCGTGATCGACCCCGTAATACTAATGCAGTAGCCCTTTCCTCTTCAAAAAACTAAAAGCATATTCAGGCTTATTATCATTTATTAAAATGTAAGTAAGCACGGAAATAGGTTGCTTCTGTTATCCTTCGGGGATCCTGGGGTTTCCCTTTTAATCAAAGTAATAAATGGTACTTTGGACTCGCCCGCATTACTTGGTAAGATAAGCTTTAACGTCCCTAGCCGCTTCTCTATGCACTTGATTAGTCGAAGTAAATACAATTATGAGCTGTTTAACCCGCTCAAAATTGTTTGCAAGAACCTAAATTATGTCTACCACTTATTCTCATTATCGGACTCTTTAAAGTCTATCAAAGCAACTTTGCTTAATACGCGCGATTCACTTCTGTCGTGCTTAAACTAACTTGCATTCTTAATATCTCCTTTTTTTATTTCAAAAATTATATGGTGTTGTTAACGCGGTCGGATGCTAAGCTTATGCATATTTGCAATAGTTTAGGGGTTCACTTACAACCTGGATCTGTTCTTGTTGCTTCTGTGCTAGCTTTGTACATGATTTTTGTTCCTTTTTATTTATTTATACATGAACTTTTGTTTTTATTATTCTTTGTACTTTGTTTTTATTATTCTTCTTCTTCGTATCATCCTTTATAATGTATACTAGTTTTTAAATAAATAAATAAATAAATAAAACGATCGGTATAAGATTTACTCTTAAGGTGTTCTTGAATTCGACTGTTAATTTTGTGTAGTTGAGTTTCATGTAAAAGTAAGTAAAATAAAATAAAATAAAAAATGCGCAAATTATTTTTTTTTAAATTATAAATATTATAATATTTGTCAATACACAATTCTTTATTAATACGTTCTTATATTGGATTATGGCAAGCTTTTTCTTGTTTGTTTCTGCACATTTCTTTTAAATTTTGTTTTGTGTTTATAAAAACAGTTGATAAGCAAGTAGAGGAAAATGAAAGCTTAAATTAAAAACTTAATAACATGAAGGGATGTTCAACCTTTTAAATTAACGGCGACAAAGCAGTATTTTTCTTAGAAATGTTTGGTGTATTTTTCTTAGAAATTTTTTGTGTAGGTTTTCTTGAAATTAAAATCTGAAGAAAGTAGTGAAATATTTTAACTCAGTAAATTTCTTATTTTTGCAGAAACATTTTATCATCACATTAATTACTGTTTATACATATTTTCGCTTTATAATCAGTGTCAGTGCTTTAGAATCGTCATCGCATATCATCTCTATTAAAAATTTCCCTCAAATCGAGCATAAGTGAAAATGATTTAAAATATAAAAAAAGAGGAAAAACCTAATAAATAAATAATCTTTGTCTTTTCAATTCGATGTAACGATCGATTATTGTTCTTAGTTAAGCTAATTAGAGACCCAAGAATTCTGTAATCAACTTTGTTTCCTTCTTCCTTAATATTATTTCCCACCATCTCCTAACTCTACATTTTGGATGATTAATGCTTCCCTAATGTATGTACATAATAGTCAATCGGTTTTATGGAATACTGATAAACAAGTACTGTGGTAAATATTGACTGTAAAAATTAAAAACACAATAGCACAAATTCATTAATTTAATAACATGAACGATCAGCTACTTTACACTTTCTTTCATTTAGCAATTTTTGATCTAAACTTTGCATTTAAGGTTTAAACAAACACGACTCCTACGACTTCAAAATAAAGTTAATATTCAGTTTTCAAGTTCACATTACAAGTTGCATCCATACTACTGTTCGATTTGCCATCTCAAAGCGTACTTCTGAGAAATTCAATTTTCTTTGAACAGCTCTACTCAGCACTGTAAACTAGACTAAACTCGTTGCCTAAAACTCGAGCCTAAACTAAACTAACTCACTTATCTCTTGTGTAGACAATAACTTGACTTCAACTTCAACTCAAGCCAATTACCCTCACTTTCTGATTTCCCTTTACTTAATCCTAATGCTTAACCTACCTTAATCTAGCACTCCCCCCTCAGAGACGAAGAAGCTGTGAGGGCAAAACGAGGGACGTCTTTGGCTTCTCACAGTTTGTTATGCTTTACACAATATAAATATTAATGTCTCCCACGATTCGCAGATTATTGTTTCAAATTATTAAAATTTTTGTACTCTACACCACTTGTGGTACAAGGATATAATAAGTTTTCCCGGATGTATACAACACCCAGAAAAACTTGAGGTAGATCTTTTATTACATTGATTATATCGATTGATTCAGGCTTTCTGAATTCATCTTAACTTGTCTGTCCGTCTGTCCGCATAACCGTCGAGTTTTTTTGTGTCCAAACTACACGCCACAGTCTTTGAGATAAGCGAAACATTCCATTATATTTTTGTGAAATGGAGCGAAAGAAAATCCTTTGTAGGGTTCGTTTTTATGACTCAACATAAATGAACGAAAAATTGCAAGTGAGTCAACCACATTTATTGTGGTGTATCTATTAATAAACTGGATTAATCAATTACTCATGTAGAGCTCTTATTAACTTTATTATTCGCACACTTTTAACTATTGCTAATTATTATTTTTTTAAATTGTTTTCTATCCATAAATAAGGAATAGAAGTTTAAAATGTCGTGACATAATTGTAAGGAATACAGTTCCAACGCCATGGTTCTACGAAGTATCGGTGAAGCTGTTAAAGGCGATCAAAAGGGATATAAGGAGGGCATTAAAGGTGTAAATAGTGGGCAATCCAACATATTCAAAATTGTCAAAATAAATATGGAACGTAATTTTGCTCCTGTCTTAATTTTTCTCCTTTAGAAAAAAAGATTGCGACGTTTATACTATGCAAATTGCAAAATTTAACTTTAATACGGCAGAAGAAGTTGATCGATGAGGTTTTCAACAATACTTTAGACGTCCTAACGGAAGAAGACAAACAGTTGTTACAAGTTGAGAATGTATGCCCTTGCTAAGGAGTGGTAAAATGTTAGCTCTCGACTGTAGGAATCATTTTCAAAGTTGACAATGGCTGGTCAATATAATACAAGCTTTTAATAGCTTGGTGCATGATTATCAGGCGTTTTTTTGGCATGCGGTATTTTAATAAATATTAGATTATTTTATAAATTTTTGAATGAAAATAGCTCTCTACTTTTAGACTATAAAAATACGTATCGATAATCATACTTATATTTGTCATATTACACTGTACTAGTTTGAGAAAGGACGCAAAGCACAGCAGTCATTTTGCGATCTCAACGAGCTTTTCGGTGAGGTTAGAATTAGCGAAAGTCGGTTCAGGGAAGCATTTGCCCGTTTGAAATCTAACGCCACTACGAAGTCAAATTCATAAGAGCGTAATGGGCTTTTCACTGGTTATAACCATAAAGGGGAAAAAATTAACACCTATCTTGTCTCTCCTCTCCTCTCCAGCAATGATTCTAAATATAACCGAAGTTTTTTCAAATACTTTTATTTATTAATAAGCTATTCAATTTGCAGAATTTATTTTAGGTCATACGTTTCTCAAAAAAAAAGCTCAATAATACAATGTTGAGTGCCGTCTCTAGCACACACCGTGTCACTACGCTTCAATCTCGCTCTCCTAATTGCACGTGTATATAGTTGAAAGCTTTTAGCTTATCTCTTGTCCTCTTCAATCTTTCCCTTTCTCTGCTAAACTAGATTATTTCTTACAACTTAATTTCTGTGTACTTCTAGACTGGATAAACTTTATTATCTAACCGACAAAATTCGAACAATATTGCAAAATTATTAGATTAATACTAAATGGTGTATTTGAAATTATTATTATAATTTTATTTATCCCAAATGTTGGAATAAAATTTTTCAAAATTTCTATATTAATATACCGGCTTGGACGAAACGTATTTAGAGAAATATATGTACATATATATATTAATAAAAGCAATGAAGTATATCAGTTGATAACAGGCACAAACAATAATTTGCACCTGCATTGACGTTATTGTAACATGGTGTCATTTCGCACCGATGTCGCAATTACAGTTAAATAACGCAGTAGCCATCTATTTATTATAAACTATATATTAGAAGCTTGCATTGAGAGCTGGAAATATGAAGGAATGGTTAAAAATCTCGTGCATACTTTGCTTATTCGGATTTCTACGTGAAGTAAGACCTTCTGAATCTTTCATTACAGAATTTTTACTTGGACCATGGCGTAACATAACCCAAGATGAGGTAAGCATAATCGGAATTTGGAAAAACTCTTCTTTGTAAATTGAAATTTTTTAGGTAAATCGTCAAGTCTATCCTGTGGGTACATATTCCTATTTAGCTCAGCTGGTAGTCGTGTTCCTAATGACGGATTTTTTACGGTAAGTATATCATCTTTCATCAACGTTGTATCATCTAACGAGCAAAAGCGAACAAATTTCGTTCTTCCAGGTATAAGCCCTTAATAATTGCTTGTGGTGTAACTGGTTGCGTTGTGTGGAGTATGCTTTTGTGGACTAGTTCATTGGAGGCGCTGAAAGTGTTGGAATTTTTTTACGGTACTTACATGGCTACTGAAGTAGCTTACTATACATACATTTATGCTAAAGTTGATAAAAAGTATTATCCTCGGGTAACATCGCACACAAGAGCCGCTATGTTTTTAGGTAAGCTGGTGGCCGGAACTTCAGCGCAAGTGTTAATAATTCTAAAAGTTATGAACTATAGAGACTTGAATTACATTACGTTCGCAAGTAAGGATTGTAAATTACTTTCACTTACTTAGATTTGTCATTACTTTAGTTTATGTGATTTTTAGCGCAGATTGCAGCCACTTTATGGGCTTTGTTCTTACCGAAAGTCAAAAATAGTTTGTATTTTCATCACCATGATTATCTTGACGGCCAGTGTTCAACAGAGAGTCGAAATCATGATACGATAGATGCCGGAGATGCAAAGTCACAAAGCCAAGTTAATGAAGGTTTAATGCCACTCAAAGCTACCTCCTTGTTATGGTTGCATTTTTATAATGCCTACACTAACGTAAAAGTGCTTCAATGGTCCTTATGGTATGCAATGGGTTTATGTGGTTATCTCCAAGTTATTTCCTATATACAAGTCTTGTGGAAAGATATAAAACCAGACTCCTCAGTAAGTTACTCCCAATTCATTCGACTACAAGTGTGAAGCATTATATTTCTAATTTATATGAAGATTGCTTGGAATGGAGCAGTTGATGCTACGCTTACCGCTTTATCTGCAATTTTCGCTTTAGGAGCTGGTTACATGCATACTGGACTTTTAAAGCCCCATATATTAGTTTTAGCCGTCTTGTCATCATTGAAAGGTGGAGCCATTTTATTATGCTGTCGAAGCGATAACATCTTTCTTTCCTACGTAGGTTTTGTAGTCTTTGGTGCTTTGTATGCATTTACCATAACAGTAGCGAGGTAGGTAGAGCGAAATGGTTCCGAAGCTTTTTAAAATAATTTCTTTTACAAATTTTTAGTGCTGAAGTAGCCCGTCATTTGGAGGAAGACAGTTTCGGTTTGGTTTTTGGCATTAACACACTGTTGGCTTTGATCTTCCAAACTATCATCACTGTTGTGGTTATTTCAGACACAGGATTCGCCTTAACAGTAAAGGGTCAATACACTGTTTATGCATTTTATTTTATCATCATCGGTGTAGTATATTTTTTGTGCGCTCTGTGGAATCTTCTGATAGTTAAGAGTATTAGAGACAATATTAATCTATCATCATAGGAATAGTGCGTGAATAATAAGAAGCATACTCTAGCACAAAGTTGCCGTAAAAATTTTTCGTTGAAAATCTTATTATTATATATAAATATTTCCAGATTTAAGTACTTAACTTTCAAGTAGTGATAGCAGCTTTTATAACATTTACTTGATGATGATTTAGTGTATCTTGCACCTATTGCATATGTGAAGACACATTTCCTCTCAATTTGTGATTTTGTCTATTTTTCTATCATATATTATGAATATTTTATTGTAAAAAAAATAATAATCAGCATACTACATTAGATGTGGAAATAAGTGTCGACTCGATTCTTTTTAGTAAAATTGAGGGAGTATTTTAAAGAAATGTTAAGAGTTACTCTCTTTAACGTATTGTCCAACAACACCCGTTATTTTAAATGAATAAGGTGCGAAACGGACATCTGGTCTTTTAAGGCTATCAAAAAAGGAGGAGGAAAGGAGGACAAAGAGACAAGAAATCATTTATTGAACGCTGCGGTAATCAGTTTGAAGTAAGAGCCGCATTAGCTCAAGGATATGAAAACAGACAAGAATCAAATTGATTATATCTCGCATAAACTTAAACGCGCCTCAAGGAATTACTCTGTCAAGTATGGTTACCAGGTTTTGGCAATTAAAAAGTTGCATGCTTATAAAGAAGGTCGCGAGTTCGAATTTATTACTGACCACGCTTCTTTTGAGTGATTTATGTCTCAAAAGAAATTCCACGGTTGATTGACTAGACGGCCTTGATATTGCAAGATTTCCATTTCTTAATCGCGCATCGAAAAGAAAGCCATATTTTTTTTTAGTGGCTTAGTCCACATAATCTCAATAAACCGTGGATAATTTTTTCCATTGGGCGGTTAGCTTGTGCTGACTGTTGCTTCGGTTGCTCTTGGTTGGCGACATTTCACAGCTTTCGTAGTAATTGTAGCTACTATTTCAGCAAGTTGTTCATAAATTGTAGTTTAAATTAAATCTTTACACAATTTACAAATCACCCTATTCTATGCACTTTCGACATCTTTTTTTTTGTTTGTTTAGTTCTTTATTTATTTTTTTTTCGGTATGTTGAATGGAGATGGACTAAGTCAATAGATTTGTGGCTTATATGCCCAGAATTCTTTATTCCAACGGAGCGCAGAACAAACAGCTTTTTCTTATCAGCTACAAATAAATATAAAAAAAATGTTGTCCTTTTTTTCTGCTCGTTTCATTCCACCTGAATAATAACAGCGAAAACGTTACGAAAATGTTAAGTGAAGCGCGCATTGTGGTGAACATTATTTAGTAAGTACTTGGGGGTTAGAGTAGCCAAGTTGACTTTCGGTGGCGACCAATCCGATAATTGATAAATATTTCGATCCTGACTGCGTAAAACTTTCGCGTCTATTTCGTTGACCTTATTCATACGTAAATGAAAAAACAGAAAAAAGAAAGAAATTTTCACTATTAAGATCAAGAAAATAACATCTGTTTCTTCACTCTGATAAATAAACAAACAAAGCAATGACAAAGTGGACGAATATTTTGCGAGTATATTGGAAAAAAAGGAAAAATTAACTTTAGAAAATTGATTATACGCTGGTTGTACTCATATATTTAGGCCAGAAAATTATATTCGACGGGGGCGAAATCTTAGATGTCTACCGCTATGTTTTCACATTTTACTCTCCACGTTCTTTTATTTTATACCCATATCGCTGGTATTGTTAAGAAAAAATTAATCGTGGTGTCTACCATATCCATTTTAGTATTAACCAATTTTTAGTCAGATAATATATCTTCATTTGAGGAATCTACAAAATAGTTTTAAACATTCTGTCTTGTTTGCGTTAAGCGTAAAACCTTAAAAAAGTAAAAATAGAATTTAATCAACTGTAACTTTTTGTGGGAATGGCTAATTTTTTCCATTTTTGGACGTAAAAAATCTTAGGCTTCGTAAGTGTTATAATTTCCGAGTAACGAGCAAAAACCGACAAAGAGAATATTCATTTTTTTTTGAAAATAGGGTAAAATCGAATGCCACGCCTATAAAAATTGTACAAAACTATTCAGGAGACGTACAAGGGGAGATGAATGCATATTTTTGATACATTTATATAATAAAGAATATATGTTACATTTCAACCAAACCATTTGTTTGAATATATATGGAAAGAGAATATTCATTTTTTTTTGAAAATAGGGTAAAATCGAATGCCACGCCTATAAAAATTGTACAAAACTATTCAGGAGACGTACAAGGGGAGATGAATGCATATTTTTGATACATTTATATAAACTATAAGTAAAGTTTGTTACTAAAGCTCTTCTTTTTTCCTAGGAGTCAATATGGAACGGTTTATAGACGAAGTAGATGTGGTGATTGTGGGCGGTCGACCTGCAGGAATGTCCGCTGCTATTCGTGCCGTTCTTTTATAGCCTGAGTCTCACTCGCTTGTCCTAATGCCAACATGCTCTATGTGTTTACATCAGTTTGAGGTAATATGCTTATGGCTATGCTTAGCTTCGGTTGGCTGTAGTCGCAACCTTAGTTACGACTCGCATGATCCTACTTATACACAACTTAACCAACTTACATCTAACTTATTGCTATGTTTGTTCAAATGTCTACTCACAAGCACTCAGGTACCAAATCGCGTGATTCGATCACCGAGGTATAAGGCCTGCGAATAATATCAGGAACAGAAATGCAAAGATTTCTGGAGCCAGTTTTGCCGTAGGGGCCGGTCTTCTCCATGTTCAAAACTTACGATATTGTAACTCTTGGTATATTGTTTCGGCTTTCTATTCCAATTGCATCAGTACTGTTGGTAGTTTTCCACGAACACAACCTGTGAATCGCCATGTAAGTTCAGTTTTATAATCGATGTCAATAGTTAATATCGTGAATCGTGGTTATTTTGCCCTTAGATATCTTCTGTTTATCGCACTTAAGAATTTAGTGGGACCACACTCCGAATTAAACGGAAACGTTAAGTTTTCCGCAAATGCCGTTTTCTTTTTGCGACAGCATTTAAATTTATTTCTTGCTAATATTTTTGACAAAGGATTATATCTATTCGAACCTTCGACCAACTATATTGTATGCGCTATAATTGAGCGCTATATACTATATTGTATAGCGCTATATGATAATTTATACATTTTCATGCAGCTTAAAGATAGCACTACCTAGTTCAAGAAGAAAAGCACTAACTTGGTTAATCTCACACATATAATTTGTTAGGCAAGCGTAGGCCCAAGCAATAGATGAAAAAAGAAGTTCTTTGCAATTTTTTATAAAATCCAAACTTATTTAAGAGATCCTTGTTAGAAAGGATCATAATGATGATCTTGCAGATATATTATAATTATTTGATTTCCAAAAAAATTTTATTTCAAAATATGGGTTTTTTGTCTAAAAGTACGCTCTCAGAAGTGCTTACGAATCAAGCCAATTAATCTGTTGCTGGCAAACTGACGATATTCACAAAAATCAAAAAAAATCAATTAAAACACGCAACTGTACACGCTTTTGTCTTCTTAACATTTGAAATCGTCATTTGGTCGCGTCTCGGTTTACTTTTAATTTATAAACAACTATTCGGTTGCTTAGGGTACGTGACGGATGATGTCCTTGCAGTAGAAATTTTGAATTAGAAACTTTAAAGGTTCGATGTGAAAAAGTCATATCCGCATATCTATATAGGATTTAGAGGGCATAAACGAATACTTCCGAGTGGAACGCTAGTTACCTGTCCTATAAGGAGCAATTTTTGGGATTATAGTTAAGTGCAGAAGTGGTAGCCAAGATTCTATTACGGCCGCAACATTAAGCTCATCCGAGAAGAAGAAATTGGAAATGATCAAGAAGACACAAGAACGTTATCAAAATGTAGTAGTTATAGTATGTGTAGCATAAATATGACCCTATGTTTTTTTCAATTCTATTGGCGGCTTTATGGCAATGTTGTTGGAAAAATTGCTCGCCATATTGATATGATATTCAGAGTTATTTATCAAATTTTTTTTCCAAAAATTAAAAAGTAAAATATGTTATATCAATTAATTTATCCTTGTTTAAGAAATATGTAGATATATATATACATATATAATATAGCGTTCATGTAGTGATTTTCTCTTCCTTCCTACTTATTCTATATCTTGAGAAACGAATACATATGCAATATTTTTCCTAGAAATGTTTAGATATATATATATATATATATTATATAGCGTTCATGAAGCGATTTTCTCTTCCTTCCTACTTATTTTATATCTTGAGAAACGAATCCATATGCAATATTTTTCCTAGACTTTCCTCTTAAAAAACGTAGACATTATAAAAAAATTGCTTACCCATGTCGATTTAGCACTTAAGTTTGCGAAATAGTTTACGAATATGTGATATTAGAAAACATTGAAAATATACGATATTAGAAATATTGAAAATATTGATTTCACTTTATACAAAATGATATATAATTCGAAGGCTTCAAGCAAGGCACACTTTTAAAGCCAGAAAGTAAATTTTAACATAAGACGTACATCCGTAATCGCTGACCGGGGAGGAGGCAAAATAAATATCTTCACATTTATTGTCAAGTCAAAATTTACAGCTTTTTTTTTACTTTCTTTCCGTACACACACTTTCGGCACATACACAATGTTAGATAGTTATAAGAAATAAAGGCAATATCCAGGGGTGATTATAGATTATAAATGGACCTTATGACTGCTTTAATCTAGTTGGATATGAAGTGCTAGCGAATTCCCTAACTTTACAGCGTGAGCAGAGGATAGCCTTATTGACACGGTTAGTGTGATGTAGTTTAGATTAATACTTAAAAATAACTTTTCTTTCTTTGCTTGGAAATAAAACGACGAAAAAGAGAAGACAAGCTTTGTTTTCCCGCTTAACGTAAAAATCCCCGGACAGCAAAACTTATAAGATAGCTACCTACGGCTCGGTAAATGTTCCGTTGTTATTAACCTCGCCGATTCGTCTAAATATTTTTGTGTAAATAAAATTTTCTTTAGTAAGCAAAGTCTTCACTTTTTCAAATTGTATTGATTTTTGAAATAATAAATAAAAATTATAATAATCTTCGTTGCAAATTTTTCAGACCTTCAATTATTTATTTCTTGCGTTACTGGGGAAGAGTTTCAGTATATTTCGAAGAGATTCGCGAAGTTAGAAAACCGTTGCCTCCCGTGAGCAGCTTTCATTTGGGCGACTTCTCTGGAAAGTTTAAGATAAACCGTTTGGGACAAAAATTTCTTTGGACTTTTTTATTCATATACACAAA